ATTGCTATAGCATATAGCTGGCCTGCAAATTGACAATCAAAGTTCGTGTAAGGAAAATTTTGTGTTTGTGAATGGTACTTTGCCTCAGAGCAAATTAAGTTGACGTTTTTTTTTTGTTTTCTAATTGTTAGTGTGTGTTTGGAAACTGTTTGTTTATGTTGCGAAAAGTTTGTCTTGCGATTGCTTGAAATTTTGTGTTTCCAATGGAATCACGGCAACGAAAGATAATGCAAAAGTGTGTTGAGTGTTTTGATTTTCTTACGAATACAAGTATTTGAGTGGCACAAGGCATTCAGTGAAGGTCGTGAAGTCAGCAAACGCTTGCCTCATGTGAGTTGATCATCTGTTATCGACGGTACGACAGTACTCGAAAATCGTCGCGTTGGCATTTGAGAAATAGCAGAGGATCTCAACATCTCTTATAGGTCGACTCAACATATTAGACTCGTACCAAAACACCTGAATCATTGGCAGAAACGACGTCGAGTTGAGGTCGCAAAAGCGAAAATTCCTAATAACGTAGTTGAAGACTCTACTTTTATCAAACATTAATTACTGTAGACGTTCAACAAACTAGCGAATGGCGCTGTCAGTCCGAGTCAAATTTGATCAGATAGTATATCTATACGTCTTATTTTCGCAGCGAGGCCAGAAATTGTATTTTAACAGATAATAGGGATCAAATGGGAAGTTACTAAACATTTTGGATTTCCTCATGAATGCTGATAGTTAAATGTTAAATAAAAATGTTACCTACATTTAGGAGAACATTCATGATAATTGATCAAGCTAATGATTGATATTCAAACTTCGAATTTTGAAAACTACTTAAGCCCTTAAAAAAAATGAATTTCGTCCATCACAATATGATCGATTAGATTTGTCAAGGCTGAGATATGAGCCTGAATTTAGATAGGGATGTCAATCAGGCGGGCGGAGGCACTTTACCCAATTTCACAACCTGTGAGTAATTATACGTCCCACATGTATCATAAAGGCAATGAAGGGGTGTGAAAATAGTTACCGCTCCAAATACCCTCGCTATAGATAATCAAAGTCGTACTAGTAAAACTTAAATCAACTAAATTACATATTAAATTACAGAAGCACTTGTTAGCAAACACTCTAAATACAGATGAACATCATCAGCTCATGAAGTCATATGGTTGAGTGCCCCACACAATTTGCGGAAGCCCATATTTATGATCCTTATAAATGCCATTGAAAGGCAAAAACCCTACGATTGCACGCGAAGAGTGAAGCAGTAATTGCGGTAATTTGCGTCAACATACTGACAATTACGCCGCACTTTTTCGTTAAACTCATTTTCACATGACGACGTTAATGCGCTGATGCAGGTGGAGTTGTAATTAAACAGTTAGCAACAACGGTGAATGCTTGTTTTTGTTTGTGTTGACTGCTTGTTGGCCTCGTTCATTTTATGTAATTATTTTTTAAATACTTTGTTAACTCGGCGCAATTATTTATTGACAACTGTACACATGGTCTCTCGCTGGTACTTTTGTGCTTAATTGTGAATGTGCGTGTCGATGAAGTATTCTCTCAGTGGCGTTTAAATGATTGCAAGAGTGAAGCATTTGTTGATGGGAATATTTATTAAGGGAATGAGCATATACATTTCATAAAAAGAACACTTCTGAAAGTTTTCGTTTCAACTTCCTAATGATATCACAAATGAGCAACACGCACAGCTCAAGAAAGCCACAGTATATGAAATTATATTGTGAAAATAGTCCTCTGAATCACCCTAATATAAATACGTGCAAATGTGCCTTAATAAGCATATTATTGTGTATGTAAATTGTTAATTTCTTAAAGAGCCTTTATCGAGGCCACATTGTCTGAAACCGTCGCAAATGAACAGATTTCGTAATAGATTTCAGGTTGAATGAATTTTTGTAACAAGAGCGTGCTGAAGGCTCTTCCTTGCATCACAATGCGGAACCTTATATTATTTGACGATCATTGTCGTCACTCAGTTCAGGTCAAAAGCGCACTCTATTCTGTGATACTCTTCGTAAACGACTTTGGACCAACAATTTTATATTCGACGATAAGACGTTGCCAGGTGATAATCCGAAACCAATTTATGTTAACTTATGATAGCACTGAGCCTCAGTAGAATTTAAACACAAAAGTATATAATTTGTTTTTGTGAAATGCACTTCATCGAATTTGACACTTCATAACATTTGGTCATATAGATGCAAAGCGATTTCTCTTCAAAAACTACTTTAAGTTCTGAGCCCATTGAGACTAGAGCTCATGTGAAAATCAATTTCCATCTCTCTTCTTTACTCAAAAACAAAAGAATTGTTTCTGCATTTCCGATATATGTAAAAACATTTTCAAAAGTTTCAGTGCTATTTTCATTAAAATAAGCAATTATGCCCATCAAAATAACGTTTCATATGACGTTAACGGAAAAATACTCGACGAAAAATAGCAACTTGCACCACAAATAGCTCAAAGTGGGCGTATGAGTAACGTGGCGGTTGAGACGGAGTTTTCCACATCATCCAACCAATGCTTTCAGCACTCTTTTATGTATAACAGCCGATCGACTAAAAAATATTATTAATTTATTATTGCGCAGACGGACACTATTTATACACATATAGGTATATACCATATGTACAAATGTATGTATGTAAAAGCACTCAACCAGCCGGCCAACACATTCACAGCGAAAATGTAATTACTGCCTGTGTTCATATTCAATTAAGAAGCAAAGTAACGTGACGTGGCTCTTTCTTGCATTGCAGTGGAGCTTGAGCGAGCCATACCACGCCAATAACGGTTCAATTAATTTACGTTCAACATATATATTTATATTTTGTTTTTGCAGTGCTTGCCACGAGACAATTAAATAAAAGTTGCATATTAAATTCCTTAAAAGAACCGTTTTCGCGCACAATGAAAATATCTGCATGTGATTACAATAACAACGTCGTGGATGAAGCGAGCGTTTATGGATTTCACAATTTTCATACTTAAAAAGACTAAAGCGAGCAAATATGTAATATTGCGGTTAAGTATTGATGCAAAACAACAGAGAATATTTTTATGAAAATTCTGGAAAATTACTTAAAGCAGCGCTAGTGAAGAGAACCTTTTTGTTTTGTCTTTCTTTCGCCTTTAATGTTTTTTCGGTTTTTACGCGTGTTTGAGCTTCTGATTCTGCTATTGAATTTTTTCTTCGTCTTCTTCTTCTTCTTTAACATGCAACAACATGCCAACTTGCAACTGTGTAGAGGCCAACAAATGTTTCAACGCCATGACGGAAAAAAGGCACACAAAACCCTTTAATAAAGTTGAAAGGCAATGTCAGTATAACAAAAAGAGGTAAAAAAGTCCACACAAAGGCCTACAGAGAAAAGGGCAAATGGGCTTCATGGCAGCAGAGAAAAGTGCTGAAGCGTTTTAGTGCTTTTGTTCCAGCTGTCAAAGAATATCATAATAAGCATTATTATTGTTTTTATTATTATTTTATTTCTTATTCTTGCTCATTTGTTATTATGGCAGTTGTTGGGCGCTTCTTTCCATTTAAAATCTTAATTTGTTTTCGTGTTGGCTTTTAGCATATTTTTTTAGTTTTAATAAATATATATTTTTTGGATAATAAAACGGGTTAACCCTAACAATACAGGCCCCTTCCGGCGAAAAGTCAAATTTGAAAATACAAAATTTATTAAAGGTAGTCACCACAGCAGAGCTTTTATAAACGGTTCTATTTTTCAGTGCCCTCAAGTGTGTTTCGGAACTCTTAGCCAAATCAGTATAGGATATTGTAAGACTTTATTTTTTAATAATTATTAAATGGATAATAATACAAACTTAAATATACTTCTGGCCAGCTATAACACAATAGCTCATCTTGTGCTTTTATGGAAAATGTTTGATGGCCATCTGCGAATGTGCGGCGTTGGTACATTTGTAGATCATAGAACATACAGTTGATCGCCGAAAAGATAATAATATATTAATTATGCTACAAATAGCAGTGTGAAATGGTTATCAAGGAAAGAATCATGTTATTGCTAGTAAAAGTATCACTATAACCAACCGGACTAATTATAAGTTCCTGTAGAAGACATTTTAAGACCGGAAATTAAGAGCATTGTATTCCATATTCAGTATTCTCAAGAGTTTGCACAATACTAACAATCCTCACCGCATAAACCTTCATATATGCATAGTCCAAATTTTCTACTATTTCTTCAAAAACCTTTGTATCTCTAATTCTGGATAAAATTTTTTTTACCTCAAGTTTATCTTCCAACCGAAAAAGTTTGAATTTATTCTGAATATATTTATTAAATTTCCGCAAGGTCAATGAAATACTATTCTTTGAACAATCATAACTAAGGTTTTTAGAATGATTGATATTCTAGCCTTATGAGAGATGCTTCGCCTATCTAGATATAGTTAAACAGTCGAAAATACGAGAAGCTATCAAAAATTAAGACCGATATTAAAAAAAAAGTGGCAGGGTCTCTAAAATATTATCCATATAGACAGCTAAACAAAAACACATTTTTTCACCAAATGTCTGAAAATGTCATAATGCCCGCAAACACATTAATGTTTTTCGTCCTGGCAGACACTAAAATTGCCTTAATTTAATACACAAATTTACTTCATGCACAATATAAATAAAACACCAAAGGAGTGCAACAAAAAGTCATTGAAAAAATGTGTTTAACTTTTTCACACCCAACCGACATGACATTAGCAAAAAAATTACATTTTACCCGCGCAACACAAATTATGGCTTGACCCTTTTCGCCCAACACTGACATAACAAGCGCGACTAAATGATTTACCTGCTTGCCACACACTCGCCATCTGACACACATATACGTACACATTTTTTATTGCTATACATTATATTTATGCGCAAACACACTCGCACATATTTATTTGTATATAACGGTTGCAATTTTTCACTGGAATTTCCTTATTTTCTTGTGTTTTAGGAAAATGCTGATATTGCTGCCGCTGTTGGGTGTGTTGTTTAACGGTCTCACAACAGCGCATGTTGAGGCGAATTTAAGCTTGGAATTTAGGGCTACAAAGGTGAGTAAGCAAGCAAATTTAATTCACTTCCGCATGAAATTTGTTTCACAAAAAGTAAATTACTTAAAAAAGTATGGAGAGAGCGCTGAACGAACGCATGGGTGATGTTTATTATGACCTAATAAGTTACAAAGTCAGCTTTTATAAAAATAAATTTACTAATTTACTCTTCTTTTTTCGTTTTATACGCTGCTTTCACTTGGTACTTTCGGAATTTTTAACGCAGCTTTTGAGGCAACATAATCCTGGTAAGCCACAGATCATACAGCAGTAACAATATGTATATATATAAGAGCATATAATATATATTTGTACGCTGGTATATTTAGTTTTAGTAAGCTTGCTACTTATATTTACATATTTAATAATATAAATAATAACTCAGAAACAAAAAAAAACTTAAGGTAATTATTTTATTAATTTTAAGATTCAAAATCAAAGCTAAATCAGTCCCAAGCATAACTCTAACTTTTAAAAAGTTTTTATACCAGGTGTACCGGTATGAGCGTTAAAATACAAATTTGTTGGTAGGGAACATTTGTTGTGAACGAGACATATTCAATAACCTTCCAGTCATTGAAAAAATATTCATATGCTTGTCGAGGCATACGGTTATCATGTTCTATCAGAAGAAATATGCCAAAGATGATTTCAACGATTCAGAGATCATGTTTTGATGTGAGAAATGCAGAACGTGAAAGACCTCCAAAAAAGTTTGAAGACACCGAACTGCAAGCAGCATTGGATGAAGATGATACTGTGAGTCAAAAGCAAATGGCAGCCATAATAAATGTTGCACAACAAACAATTTCAGACCGTTCAAAAGCTATGGAGAAGATTCAAAATTGTGGAAAATGGGTACAGCATGAATTGAATGAAAGACAAATGGTACACTGAAAAAACACAAAAAAGACACGAAAGAAAATTTAATTTGTTTTAAAAATCGTAAACGGAGAAAATCATGGGTTAATCCGAGACAACTATCAACATCAACTGTAAAAACAGATCGATTTGGTAAGAAGGCAATTATCTGTGTTTGGTGGATTTAGAAGGGTGTGGTATACCAGCAGCTTCTAATCTGGCTGTTAATACTAATCGCTACAGACAACATAGAATTAATTTGAACATGATCGAAAAACAACCAGAAAATGCGGCAAAGTAATTTTGTTACACGATAATGCACCTGCACACAAAGGAAAATCGGTTCAGAATACAACCAAAGCACTTGGCTGGAAGCTGCTTTCCCACTTACCGTATTCACCAGACTTGGCACCGTTCGATTATCATTTACTTTCGTCGATGGGACACGCATTGGCTGAGCAGTACTTCGATTCCTATGCAGAAGTCGAAAATGGAGTATCTGATTGGTTTGCTTCAAAGAATATTGGCATAGTATCTACAAATTGCCAGAAATTATCAAAATCTGTAAAAATCAAATGGATAATACCTTGAATACATTTTTTATTTTCCTTTTCGAAATAAGTATTTCATTTTCACAAAAATCGCTTTTCAATTTTGTACCGGTACATCTGGTATATCCAAAGGAAGGGTTCATATAGAATAAAATATTTGTAGAAGAATTTGTTATATGAGATCCCTCAAGAGTTATATAGTTTTATTAACAGTTTGGTTCAAAAAATGCAATCCTGCAGTTTCGGCTCCGACATTTTTTCTGTTTGGAATTGAGAAATGAAGAATAACAAAAATTTAAAAACAAAAACGCCGTTTATCTTGCATATTCAAAGCTGGGTCAGTGCAATTTGCCCTTCAACTTACATATATAATTACTGTTAGACCTAATATTCTCCTTATTATACATTATATTATACTACATACATTGAACGGGAACCTTTTATGGATTTTTAAAATTAGATAATACTACGGCAAACGTATGGAAAATGAATGCTAAAATTCGCTAAAAAATATTTATTGTTAAATAATTATATTGGAGAGTCCTCATGATTTAAAAATCATTTCAATACTAAAGCGGGCGTCGCACAAAACTCAGTAGAATAGATTTTCCTTGTAGAGGAGTCAGAGGTCAGGGAATCTACTGAGAGGGGAATAAAACTTAAATTTGAACTCCAATATGAACACATCCATTTAATCTGACATATATAATTTATATGCCTCCTAACGCCTCTTCTAACCTGTAAGCTAAAATTCCAGTAAATAATTTAATCAATATATTAGACCCACAAGCACCTTTCCTATATGAATATTCATGTTTTATCTGATAAGCTCTGCTTCAAGCCTTCGCCTTCTTTCCTACTTCCGGCATTCCCTCAGACATATTGATTTACCTCAAAAACTCAACACCAGTGCATAGAAATTCCAACAGCACCAATAATGCCTCTCAATGCCAATGTAATTCACTTCACTTCAACGTATTCATATTCCGCATCCTAATATCTCGGATAGTTGCACACGAAAAGTTTTCGGCAGCATTTTTACTTTTTAGGAGGCGCTGCAAAACATTGAAACTAAATATAACAATGAGCTAGGCAGCCATCGGCAGCACTGCCGAGGTACATATTTATTTCTTGTAGCAAAGGTACAACTGTACAACAACAATTCACAGCAAAGCAACAATCAGCGTTGCTTTCAGCTGGTGATTTAGGCTTAAGCCTTGACCTGAATTGAGAGCGTACGCGAGCTGAGTAACAGCCCACCGGAAGGGGAACGCCGTTACCCGGCTCGAATGCTTGAGTATCGTGTAAACAAATTCAAATTTTTTAAGGCAAAGTAAATGCAATTCAACTTGCTTACTCGTAGTTGCATTTGATGTTTGGGGAAAAAGTTTCCAATTCCAGTTACGTAAACTTAGTACGCGCGAATAACACATACAAACACAGATATGTGCGCTATAAAATATTAATATTATAAACATAGAAAGCGAGGATGCTTTGTGCTCAATTCGTGCAATTTCGGAAACATTTGGTAAAAATCCACATGTGTGTAGCTGCGTACTGAGTAGTTATGAGCTTAATTTACTAATTACTTTCGCCGAGTTCGCAGTTAATTTGTGCTTGTGAGACACTATAGGGACATATTTATACCCTAAACAGGGTATATTAAGTTCACCACGAAGTGAAGGAAACATCGGAGACACTATAAAATATATATTATATTATATAATGATCAGCGTGACGAGCTGAGACGCTGAGCCCTGTCCGTCTGTCTGTATATACGTGAACTATTCCCTCAGTTTTTGAGATATCGATATAGAATATTGCACCCAATCGTTTTTCCCCAAGTTTTTCCCGGAATCAAGTACGTGTATTGAAAACTTTTTCATTTGACGAGATATCTTCAGAAAATTTTGATATGGATTATTATCCAAGGCAACCGTACAATCTCCGAAGAAATTGATAGAGTTAATATAGCATTTAGTTGTCAAACAAACTGACCGATCAAAATTAAGATCTTGTAAGGTACCTTTTGTATTTATGAAGTATATTCTTCGCTATATAAAGCCTCGGTTCAATCGAAGTTAACGTTTTTCTTGTTTTTTTTTATGCAATTACAATGGTTTCGATTAACAGTTTTTTTTTAAATACGCATTTGCTTAGATCACCGCAAAATTAGCTAAAATGTTACTCATACGACCTGTGGTCTTGAGTTTAAATTATTTAAATTTTGACACATGCTTGAGTATCAAATTAAATTTCTTACAAAAACATTTATAATGGTAAAATAGTTAAATTTTTATTTTTGGTTGTAACAATTTTATTTACATAACATTATTTTAAACTCATCCGGGCAAAAAGTATAACTTTCTTTTTATGAGGAAACAATTTAACATATTTAACATAACATGCATTAAGGATAATAAAATTAGCAAAAATAATATAGCATAATACTTTTATGCATAAATTGAAAACTGTCCACAAGCAGTGTCATGTATCAACACATAAATCGCAAATAAATGAAAATAGTTGACGAGCCAGCTATAATTTTATTATAGCCGCTAACGGTGCTCGTATAAATATTTATGACATTTATGAATAAGAAAAATGCTCATACGAGTAAATCACGTTTTATTAAAACAAATAAAAATTTTTACGGCTTCTCGCTTGTCAGCGAATTTATATAATAATAAAAGCTAATATAAGTTCTGCCCGTGGTTGCAACAAAGTTATTTTATTGCCGAAACCGCAAAAACCAAGAATATTCCAACTTTAATGACAGTTATAATTTCGAATATTTGTTTTGGCGAGAAAAATGCCACTTGTGGTTCTGCAAAAGCATGTGAGGCCTGCGGGAATATCTCAGCTTTGCAAGAGGAGCCATATTTGGTTTGTTTGAAACAGAGAGACGAGCAAAGTTTAGTACTCTAATAATTTGCAATCGGTGTATATAATTACATTTATAATTTATACGATATATTCATAATTTATTTATTTTTTATATGCATACATTGTTTGTCTAAAATTTTCACTGCGCTAACTCATGCTATTTGCGATACGATTCTAAAGATCAATATATACCACTTTGCGTTTTTCCTGTTCGGCTTCACTGCCGCGAATATTTGTCTAGTCAACTTCCGACTTGTTAAACGCATGACTAGACACAGCATCTGCAGAGCCTTAGAGAAGTACTATATACCCAACTATTTTGCATTTCTTCTTCACATCTAGATTTGGCGTTGTCTCTACTTGTCAGCACCGCTGTAGCATTTAACTGATTTCCACATTTTTCGTTTGTGCGTTTATTTTTTTATTTTGCTACTCGACTTGATGACACCCACGTAGGATTTTTTATTCTTATTTACTTTTTACTTCACATACTTTGCACAAACTTGTGTCTTGGTTATCAAATATTTCGCAAATATTCTTCAAAAGAACATCTATACCATAAATTCAAAAGAGAAAACTGAGTAGAGACTATATACATGTGTCTACTTAACTGTTATATTCGAAAAATTTGCCTTCATGTTATTCTTTTACTAAGCAATTATATATTTTATTCGGGAAATATGAAGACTTCTCACTAAGTCCTACAGAAAAACCAGACTATTTTTCGCAGTATTGTCATATTTCTGTCATCATGTCAAAATTCCCCCCGCTTTTAAAACGGCGATATGTGGTTATAATGTTTTGCATATTTTTAATGGTCTTTTTAAGGATGTGCGGTATAATGTCATATTAATGCACTGCAGTTAGCCAAGTAGCTTGTAACATCCAGAAGCAAAACGTCGGAGACTTTATGAAATGTATATTTATATAAAAGTTATGTTTTTGAGATA